CGGTACGGTCTCATCATTTTACAATTGAAATGGCTAGATGTAACCGTAAGTTCTACGGTAATATTTTCTTCTATCTTACTTCTCACTTGTGAAAACCTCTTCTGGCTTCTTACTTTGCAGTCAACTTTGATCTCCAAGAGGTGGTACAGGTCTTGGTGTTTCTGTAGAACTAGTCTATAATATTCCAAGAAGGATGATCTTTAGCAAAAATTGCTTCGATGTAACCATAAGTTCTATGCTAACAATTCCTTCTGTCGCACTTCTCGTTTGTGGAACTCTCTTCCGGCTTCTGGCTTTCCACTGACCTTTGATCTTCACATATACGGTACAGGTCTTTGTGTTTCTGTAGAACCAGTGTACAATATTCCAAGAAGGATTGTCTTTGCTAAGAATTGCCTCGATGTAGCCATAAGTTCTATACTAACTTTAATTTAATAGCATTAATTTCTGTATTCATAGTTCCTATTCTTTTATTGGTCTATCTCCTTAATAAAGTTTTCATTTTCGTATATTCTCTTACAGTTAGTAAACCATTTCTTGTTAATGGCTTTAATACTTGGGCTGAAACGATTAAAAAAGTATCCTCGAAACACAAGCTAATCATAACACACACACGCACGCACGCACACACACACACACACACATATATATATATATATATATATATATATATATATATATATATATATATATATATATATTAGGTTGTTTCATTAAGACAGATTATATATAAAGTGTTTCATTAAGACGGATCAAAGTCAGCAGTAATTGGTAAAAATTTTATGACTCTATTACATCATGTTATTTAAGTGATGGCAGTTATGTGTGAAAAATAATATCGCTAAAATGCCCGCCAAAACTGAAAGAAAAATCAAGATATTTAAGCTTAATTCACATTTAAAATCGGTCCAAGTTATTGAAATGCCCCTCTCTCTCTCTCTCTCTCTCTCTCTCTCTCTCTTTATATATATATATATATATATATATATATATATATATATATATATATATATATATACGTGTAACAACAAAATTGTACAAAACTGCAAAACTGTCGAATTGCTAGATTAAGCTCTGGACCGTTGTATCTTAGAAATGATTAAAAGATATCTTACTGGAATTTTTCCGAGGTTTTTACAACACGAGTTTGAACAATAAGAATGTATAATTACTCTCCAAGATTAACAGAAGAATCGTGATGAAATTGGTCATAAACGAAAATGACATGTTCATAGCTAAGGATCGGAAGCTCATGAAGGATTGAAATTAAGTCCATATATATATATATATATATATATATATATATATATATATATATATATATATATATATATTTCCAGGATCTTCGCCCACTCTAACCATTTAACTTTCTGTCTTGGAGTAAGAAGCTCCATGTTTCACGTACGATTTTATTTTCAAGTCTTTTTTCACTGATCTTTGAACTGTCATAGCTGAAACTCCTCTCTAACTTGCCAAACGACTTATGGATTGATTTGAACGTTTTCTAATTTCCCTCTAGCTTTAAGGTGAAATGATGATCCCTCTTCCTGTTGTGACCTCCTGATCCATTTTTCCTCTCTACTGTTCCTACTTATTCACCGTTCTCTGAAGATGGAAGCCACAATATGAATGTTGGTACCATTACTGAAAGCATGAATGATCTTTTTCCTCTCACCATTGCTCACTTGGAAAGAAATATAGGGGAAGATACAAAACGATCTTAAACTGTTCTCTTTCTAGCTGAATAAACTGAAGTATTTTTCAGCTTCCTCTTGGGAGTCGTTTCGTGGACAGAAGCTCCTCGAGTAGAACAATGCATTTGCTGCCCGAAAGAAATGGTGGAAAGATGCTTAAATGTCTTATCTAAAAACCTGGAAAAAAGTAACTCAATTAATTTAGTGTTTTTTTTAGATATTAAACATTTTATGGGATGGACAATTTTGCTGTTACATCCGACATATATATATATATATATATATATATATATATATATATATATAATGTCTTAAAATAATTGTCAGATTTTGTCCATTTCATAATATGTGACGTCACTTGTTTACATTTGGATACGCATCGAGCAGATATGAATGTACGAGAGTAAATCATTGAGAATTGTAGTTTAAAAACAGTAAAATCGACCTTGCTAAGCGAAACGCTCTTCTATGGCTAAATCGGTAAAAGCACGTCAGGTTATATAACGGTTCCGTATAGGATACAGGTTCGTTTCTTGTCGGAGGACGCATATTTTCTATGAAAATTTCTCGGACATTCAGGCCGGTAAATGTTGTTAATACTGTTTATTATAAACAGAGAATTTACTTAAATATTTGTATCCATAAAAAAGAACGTATAAACATAAAATATCTTTATATATATATATATATATATATAGTGAAAGAACACTCACGCTTCCTTAGAATTTATTTTTTTAAAAAGTGCCCGATACAAAGTAGAGGATAATATAATATTATTATTTGCCGCACTGCACACGCTCACGCACACACACACACACACACACACATACATACATACATACATACATACATACATATATATATATATATATATGTGTGTGTGTGTGTGTGTATAATATATTTTAAAAATATTTTTCATCGCGACACGGAAATTTCTAGGTTACTTGAAGTTACTGAAAATCCATAGAAAATGGAATAAATTTATTGTTCCAATACATAGAATGTACCGTGTCGTGATGAAAAATATTTTAAATAATATAATAATAATATATATATATATATATATATATATATATATATATATATATATATATATATATATATATATATATATATAGATATATATATGAAGAAAAATATATACAAATCAAACAAAATCATTATATACAATTATGCTGTATAAATTATAACATTATCTTTGTCATATTGTATTGATAATGTTATAATTTATGAATATGTCCTGAAGATGGTTTATTAGACCGAAACGTCCGACGTTGACATATTAACATTAAAACTGCATAATTGTATATAAGGATTTTTGTTTTGTTTTTTCCGTATATATTTTTCTTCATACTGTCGGATCTATATTCCATATATTTGCTTACATATATATATATGTGTGTGTGTGTGTGTGTGTGTGTGTGTGTGTGTGTGTGTGTGTGTGTGTGTGTGTGTGTGTGTGTGTGTGCAATGCGGCAATCTTTTATTTCGACCCGAAATTAATTCTGGAACTCGTTCTAACAAATATGGTACTTTGTCTACATATATTCTTTGAAAAGACCGACAGAGCGACAGACAAAGAAAAGATATCAATTGTTCGAGCTTTAACAGTTTGGCAATATTCGATCAAACCAAAATTCCCGATCAGGACGGCCCGAGCATTGTGACCTAAAAAGGAAGAAAACAACGTGAATAAATATCAATTCATAAGTTTTATCGACAAAACCCTTTTTTATTTTTTATTAGTATTATTCTTATTTCTACAGGTTCGATACCATTGGTGATCGATGTGTCGATACTGACAGAACGACTGGAGTTTTACTGCCTTTTCGAATAATGTTTGCCTCATCGATTGAAATGAATTCGTCCGGATATCTTAATATAATGGAGCTAGAGCTCTTTTGTCTGTCTCAATGAAAACTCCATTTCAACTCTAAATGTGAACGCTATGAGTTATAATATGAGAGCGGAATTGTTTATCTATCGATAAATTATACAAAGATTATGGCACTGGCGTATTAGTGATAGCCGTATAAATTAAAACCGGCGTGCTTTGTTCATATTCTGATCAAGAGCCGTTCACGTTCACAGGTATTGCTTCTTTCTCAGGTATGGTTTAAACACATTGACAAAGAGTATTTTCGTACCTTGGTTGACAGCCAATCTAGAAGACAATATTTAAATTCAATACCCAATTAGTAACATAGCAAACAGTTCTCTTTAGCCTTGATAGGGCAATGTGCCTCGGTGTAGGATGACTCTGAAGTCAAAGCTATCTTTAAACACTAGTAAAAAAAAACTGCCTTATGACTATGACTAATTTTCACACCTCTAGTGTGAGGTTGGGCATATTTTAATATTTTTTAAATCTTTTGTAAACTTGAGCCATATCGACTGTTTTGTTTCTAGTTTAAACAAGACCAATATGTAACTTTTTGACGTTAGTAAAAAACCGGACCTATGTCAAGATTTTTTTAAACTTTTGTGGGAAAAAACAGACCTTTGCCTACCTTTAGACTCTAGTGTAAATCTGGACCTATCTTTAGTTTTTTGACTCTAGTGTGAGAATGGATATGTTTTCACTTTTTAAATCTTTTGGAAACTGGATCAAAGGTGATTTCAAAGCGTAGCGTAGATCTGGCACAAGGCCGAATGTATGGGGAAAACAGTGACGATCAAATTAAATATTTAGTTGTAGGACAAATGGAGCTATATCCACGGTTATTGGTATAAAATGACAATGGGAAAAAAATCTTAGTTTTTGCCAACTCGTTTCGTCTTCCGACTTTTTGAAAGCAAAAATGAAATCGAAATGCCTTTGTTGTTATAGTTACATTAAAAAATCCAAATTTAAAAAGATAGATGCTTCTGTCTAAGCATTTTTCTGGTTAATGTAATCTACGGTTATATCAAAAGCTTAAACCAGACCAATTTTGGGTGATAGAATTTCAACTCGAGTGTAATTTGCAGTTCAAACCCCACGCTCAGTTTCTAATAAAAATTTCCCGAATAGTTCCATTTAGGTGTAAATGTAGATGCTTAATTCGAAAATAACAAAGAAATTTTGCTAAAATCTACCGTTTTGGATTTATCGTCAATAAAATTTCGGACTCATTCGCGTCGCGGGGGGTGAAGTCGAAATTAATTCTACGCCGCAATTAGTCCACTTCATGTCAGTAAGAAAACGTCAGAAAACGTCGTAATGATTTGTTCTCCTGGACGTTAGCATCAAACCTGCTGCAGGGAGGCAAGACAGGTTTATTATGGTGATTAATGATGAACCATAGTCGTTTTACGGCTGCATCACGTTGTAACACCGGATCCTGTATGATCATCGAAGTTAAGCAACGTCGAGCGTGGTCTGTATCTATGTGGCTGACAGCCTGAGAATACCAAGTGCTGTAAACATGGATGTGCGGGTGGGTTAACGGATAATGGCTTGGAATTGTTAAAAAAATTCTCAAATAGTTCCATTTAGGGATAAATGTACATGCTTAATTCGAAAATGACAAAAAAATTTTGATAAAATCTACCATTTTTGAGCTATCGTCAGTAAAAGTTCGGACTCATTCGCATCGCGGTGGGTGAAGTTGAAATTAATTCTGCACTCCATCTTTTTTATGTTAGCGTAAAAGCGGAGCAATACCTACATTTCGACTCTAGTATTAAGACTGGACCTTTATCTCCAATCTTATCTAAAGCTTAAACCAAACTCTACTATTTTGACGTTACTACAGAACCAGACATATGTCAACATTTTTTTTTCTTTTTTACATTTATGTAAAAGTTTTTCTACATTTAGACTCTAGTATAAAACCAGACAGATCTTTTCTGTTACTTCAAGCCCAAAATATTAATACACCCGAGAATAAAAAGAATTTATATTTACTAAAATTCACACCAAATTCACCAGGCCTTTCCATTGTGCTCCCTCCTTTTTAAACTTATTCACCCTTCTCTTGATGGTACGTGAATGGTCTTTGAAGATGGAAGCCAAAGCATGAATGTTGGTTCCATAACTAAAGGCCGGAATCATCTTTTTCCTCTCACCATTGCTCAGTTGGGAAGACAAAATATTACTGACACAAAACGATTTTAACCTGTTCTACTTCTAGTAGTGTTTCCCAAGCAGTTTCAATTCAGGGCAAAGTTGTAGATTAATTAAAACTCTGGAGGTACATTTACAATTTTAATAAGGAAAAATTAGTCATGAAATTTGAAAATAATAAAGAAGCCTCCTAAGATAAACATTTATTTCAAGACATTACATCGTATATTTAAGCGGTAGTGTTTTCATTTAAACGGATTTATAAAGGCTATTTGAGTGTTTTAAATCCGCCTCGGAAGGCAAAAGGAAAAAGATTATCTTCTTATTCTTGACTTGACTCCATGGCTTCTATGTTTAAACATAGAAGCCATGTGCTTGGTGTCTCTAGGTTTTTAAAAATAAATATTTTTTTTATTGAAAATAATTAATAACTTACACTTCTATAAATTTGGGGCGTACCTGGCTACGTTTAGAAAGCCCGATCGAACCGGTTGAGAAACACTGTTCTAGTAGATTGTAATGGCACCCACTCGAGTGCGCTATTTCTGTGGGGTCAACATTCGTACTCACCCCGATAAACAAGACAAAAACAATTATTTTCTTTTTTTTTAAATTGTAGAAAATTCTTTTTAAATACGTGAAATACCACCCGCACTTACTAAATGTGAGTAACTTCCTGATTCTTTCATTCTGGTTTGATTTGGTTTCGTTTCGTTTGTTGTGTTTTACGGTATATCAACCTCAATGGGTTATTTAATGACGACAGTTTTTATTGATAGTAATATTTTGTTTTGTCAAAAATCTATTTCTGGTAATATTTTTTTCCACAAAACATGTATTGCTGGTAATATATTTTCTTTCAAAAATGTATTGTTGGTAATAGTATTTTTCATCAAAAATTTATTGCTGATAATAGTTTTTTTTTTACAAGGTATTCATGGTATTAAAACCCATTTTTACCCCAGTTTCGGGGTTAGCTATTTGCCCATTGCAGGGACCCTAACAGCTACTACCGCCCGGGTCAGGGTGGACCTGGGAACACCAACAATTAAGAGGTGGTTCCACGCTCCTCAAAACATCTTGATCAGAGGCATTGCTGCTGGATGTAGTTTATCGTCTTACCCAGGACGCGGATGTACTTTATCGTCATACCCAGGACACGGACGTAGTTTATCGTCATACCCAGGACGCGGACGTCGCTTATCGCCATGCCCAGGACTCGTATGTAGTTTATCGTCATACCCAGGACGCGGACGTAGTTCATCGTCATACCCAGGATGTGGATGTAGTTTATCGTCATACCCAGAGCGTGGATGTAGTTTATCGTCATACCCAGGACGCGGATGTAGTTTATCGTCATACCCAGAGCGTGGATGTAGTTTATCGTTATACCCAGGACGCGGATGTAGTTTATTGTCTTAACCAGTATGGCTTTCATTCTGGGGGTTCGATTTTTTACGAGGCAAGCTAAACAAACTTTGATTTAAAATTTATAATTTCTTATGGTTAATTAATATTTGTGTTAATTAACTTTACATTATTTGGGGTGAATTAGCAGAAAAGATACAACTGGACCTATGGCTACCTATTTTTATTTCGTTCAAGACGTAGGCGATCATAGGTCTCCACTCCTCCCTCTGCTTTGTGTCTTTCAATAAGTTTTGTACTTTTGCTACTCCCCTCAGACCTCGTCCTGTCATCCACCTGCTTAAGTCCGGTGGGTATGTCTAGGTTTCCCTTGTCTTTCTTTCCTTCTATTCACCCTGTGAGTATTAGATACTCCAAGCCCTCTTTTCTCATTAAATATCCCAGAAATTTCAGCTACCTTTTCCTGATGTTAAGTATAAGCTTCCTCATTGTTTGCATCCTTTCCAAAACCTCATTGTTGCTCACACGCTTGCTCCATATCCTTATCATCCTTCTGTAGAACCACATCTCCGTCGCCTCGAGTCTCTTCTTCATCTTCGTCCAACATTCGCTGCCATAAAAAAAGGATTGATGTCATGTAGCAGCTCAGTACTGTTTTCTTTGTTACCAACGAAATCCTCCTGTCTTGAAATACTCTGCCCAGTTTTTGGAAATCATCCTTGGCGATCCCAATCTGTCTTCGGATCTCAGAGTCACACTTATCGTTCTCCGACAAAAAACTTCACAGATATTTAAACTCACGTACATGTTTGATATTAGTGTCCCCGACCTGCCAATCGCATTTCGGATCATCCTAGGATAAACCGATGTTCTACATTTTAATTTCAGCCTCGTTTAAAATCTCTTTTCACCTTTTGACACAAGTGGGCAAACAGATAAATTAGTCGAGGGTGAAATGACCTTTTGTCTACCAGTCTATTAATTCATTATAATTTTCCCCTCTATGATTAATATTCGACAAAAGGAATGATCTCTCTTTAAATTCGCCTATTATTTATAATTGAGTATATTTCTATAAATGTGGCAAGCTTGTCTAGCTTGATAAATTAAGAGTGAGTAGCGAGTTCGATCCTCACTGGGTGCCCCACAATTCCAGCCTTGTGCCACACCTGAGCTACGATTATTTAATCTCTATACCCACTTCAAAGTGATGTAATGGTCAACAAGATTGTCTAGATCGATAATTTAAGAACGAATAGCGAGTTCGACCCTAACTGAGTGCTCCACACCTTCGGCCTTGTGCCACACCTGAGCTACGATTATTAAATCTCTATACCCACTTCAAAGTGATGTAATGGTCAACAAGATTGTCTAGATCGATAATTTAAGAACGAATAGCGAGTTCGACCCTAACTGAGTGCTCCACACTTTCGGCCTTGTGCCACACCTGAGCTACGATTATTAAATCTCTATACCCACTTCAAAGTGATGTAATGGTCAACAAGATTGTCTAGCTCGATAAATTAAATAGGAGTAGCAAGTTCGATCCTCACTAAGTGCCCCACACGTTCGGTCTACCCACAGCGAAGTACTCTGATGGGTCAAAAGTTTGTTTATCTAGATCAATACGATCGATTTTTAAGTTCGATCTTCACTGTGTGTTCCATAATTTTGGCCTTGTGCCACACTTATGCTACGGTTAATAAATCGCTATAACCACTTCGACGAGGTGCAATGGTCAACGAACTTTTCTAGCCAGATCAGTTATAACAGCTTAGTGAGTTCGGTCCTCACTGGGCACTCTATAATTTCGGCCTTGTGCCACACATAAAATACGCTTAATAAATCACGTAGTGCAATAGTCAACAAGCTTGTCAAACTAGAGCAATTGAGATGTGAGTTCGATATTGATTAGTGCTCCATACTTTCAGCCTTGTACCTGACTTTAAAATAGAGCTTAGTAAATTGTTATATCAACTTCGACGTGATGTAAATGGTCAGCAGTCATGTCTCGTTTGATCAGTTTTGATAGGCTGTGTATTGGATCGTCAATGGGCGCTCCATACATTCGACCTTGTACCACACTTAAAATACGTTTAGTAAATTGTTATATCAACTTCGACGTGATGTAAATGGTCAGCAATCATGTCTCGTTTGATCAGTTTTCATAGGTTGTGTATTCGATCGTCAATGGGCGCTCCATATATTCGACCTTGTACCACACCTTTGTAAATGAAATTTAAACAAACTTATTTTTTTTTAATCTTTTTTTCACACTCTAGAATCGTTACTAATGTCGCTTTTTTTTAGCCATGGCTCTTGGCATTCATGAAACTAAAAATGAAATACAAAATATACTCGGCAGCTATTATTATTTCTTAATATAGCAACACGACCAAGTACTGGCGACCTCTGAGGATTACACTTAAGCGAGTCCTTCCTCAATTAATATAAGAATTGTTTGAATCGCTAGAAAATTATGGCGGATACCCCGACTGTGTTCGTTGACTCTGCCGGTTGGAAATAGTCTCAAAGCCTAACGTCTTAGTCAAATGTTATTTCAGGAGATGAGAACGTGTGCCGTGTAACACCCAAATATAGGCAACATACATAAAAGATTGGTGATTAACTTCTTTTCACTGTCGAGTTGACTGCTGCTAAAAGTATGAACGTATTAAATACGTTTGACGCCTACAGTAGAGTACGTTTTAACAGTCTCGTCTCAAAGCCAAATCCGCTAGTGAAAAGAGGTTGAGTCTCTCGAGCAGAAAACAAAACACAGCAACTGAGTAAACCTTCTTGACGCCTACCGAAGTGCAGAGACATATACTTCTCCAGACGTTTCGATTCCTGCTGCTTCTTTGGGTCGGATAAAGTTAGTTCTAATGAACAATGACATCCATGAAATAAATAGAGATACCCATAAAAGGTCGGTTATTTATATCTTCTGACAGTAGAATTGATTCTAGCAGAGACTTCAGTCCTCAGT